CCGCTCAGGCCCCCACACCCCCGCCCACCTTTCCCACCTTTCCCACCGTCGCCCAAGCCGCCGCGGCCGGCGCCGCCCTCTCCCAACCCACGCCCACAGCCGCCAGCTTCTCCCCAGCCGCCCAGCCCGCCTCCACCCAGCCCCCGCCTCCCTCGCCTCTGCCGCCCACTCCATGACAGGTTGGAGCAGGCCCGCCGGCTCACACCGCTGCGTGTGGCTGTGCTGCCTCTCCCAGCACTGCTTAGTTGTTCCTTCCGGACACTCTTGAGTGCTTGCTGTGTAATCCCTTCCGTTGTAATGCCACCAGTGGGTACCCATCCCATCCACTGCCCATCTTGCCCACCAAACTGTGCACTCTTACCGCCAACAGGGTTCATTGGGCCCACAAATACACGCCAGCCCGCTATGCACGGCGCGGCGCCAGCTGGCGTGCCAGCAGCGGCCGCCAAAAGGGGGGACAAGAGCAGAAGCAAGCATGGAGCGGGGAGGGGGACAAAAGAAAGAATCGACAAACATCGCTGCAGCCTAGACAGTGTAGGAGGCACGGGCACGGCGACAGGCGGCCACAGGGGCGGCGCCAATGTGCGCGGCACCTCCTGCCTGCCGCAGCCACAGCGCCGCGCAGCCTGCTACCCTCCGCCCGGGCGCTCGCCAGGAGCGTCCCACGCTCCCAGTCGGCCAGGCAGCAGCCCGCCGGCGCCGCCTCGGGCCGTGCCACCTGTGCAGTGCCGCCAGCTGCCTAGGCGCCCGCTCAGGCGATGGGGAAGTGCCTGTAGTTCTCCCCGGCATACACAGCATCGGCGCCCAGCTCCTCCTCAATGCGCAGCAGCTGCGGGTGGGGCGAGGGAGGGATTGGAGGGAGGGAGGCGGGAGGTTGGCATCAGGGTGCAGTTGCGCGGTTGAGGTGGGCCCACACAAGTGCCGTCCCGAGGCAGCACCACGCCGGCAGCCGTGCAGCGAACCAAGCCCCAGCCTGTACGCTGCACTGCATGTACCGCCTGTACCGCCTGCACCTCACCTGGTTGTACTTGGCCAGGCGCTCGGAGCGGCACGGCGCGCCCGTCTTGATCTGGCCCGTGCACAGGCCCACCGCCAGGTCGGCGATGAAGGAGTCCTCGGTCTCGCCCGACCTGCGGGTGGAAAGAAGGAGGCGGGCAGGGGTGGGAAAAGGGGTGGGCGGCTCAGACGAGCGGTGGCGGCACGGGCCGGAGACACGCACGCTAAT